CTAGCCCACACTGCTGTGGACGGGGGAGGTTGGCGATGCGTCGCGTTTCCGAGTCTAAGGATCTCGAGCTTTTGTCCGCGATACGTCTGCGGACAAGCTCTCCTCCCGTACTGTTCCCTGCGTCTTCCTTGGCTTTGTCCCGGACGCATCTGGTTGGCAGTTTTACCACGCCACCTCGCGCCGAGTCTTGCCCTCTCAGGACGTCACTTTTGACGAGTCCGTCCCCTACTACCGCCTCTTCCCCTACCGCCCTGTCCCGTACCCCCCCCCGCCTCTCTTCCTCGCGCCAGGTGCTGCTGTCGTAGACCCCCTCCCCCCTCAGGGTGCCGCTCTCTCAGGTGTGTCTCAGGTAGACCCGGTTGAGCCTGTTGAGGTAGCTGTCGACTCTCGTCCTGCTTGGGGTGCTGAGCCTGGGGGTGCTGAGCCTGGGGGTGCTGAGCCTGGGGGTGTTGAGCTTCGGGGTGTTGAGCAGCAGAGTCCGGAGTCTGGGGGTTCTAAGTCTGGAGGTACTGAGCCTGGGAGTCCTACACCTGGGGGAGCCCTCTCCTCGGAGCAGCTGCGTGAGTGGTACTTACAGTACTGCAGCCTCAGGAGAGGCACCTCTGGAGCCGGACGTGCTACTGGGACTGGTGCTAGTGCTTCTCCTCCTAGTCGGGAGCTCCCCTCCCGTGAGCGGATCCGTGAGTGGTACGAGCGCCGCTGCACTCTTCGGAGTGGCGCGCCTCGTGTCGCGGACCCCGCTGCCGTTGGAGCTGCTGCTGGTGCTGCGGACCCAGGTGTTGGAGCTGCTACTGGTGCTACGGACCCGGGCGTTGGAGCTGCTGCTGGAGCTGAGGACCCGGGTGTTGGAGCTGCTGCTGGTGCTGCGGACCCGGGCGTTGGAGCTGCTGCTGGTGCTGAGGACCCGGGTGTTGGAGCTGCTGCTGGTGCTGCGGACCCGGGCGGTGGACCTACTGCTGGTGCTGAGGACCCGGGCGTTGGAGCTGCTGCTAGTGCTGAGGACCCTGGTGCGGGTGTCTCTACTGGTTCTGGTGTCGCTGCACGGCCGCGGCCGTACTTCGTTCCGCTCCTTCAGCAGGTTCTTGGTTCGCTCCCTCCTCCGTGTCCTCCTTCCTCCTTAGGGTGTCCTCCGTCTGCCCAGCTGCCGTCGCAGCTACCATCTGCCTCCTCTCTCCCTGGTCCTGCTCCTTACACTGGTCCGACTGGAGGTCTTACTGAGCGTCGTGAGCCTGAGCCTCGTCTTCTGTCGCCTGAGCCTCATCGTGCGTCGCCTGTCCGTGCTGCTCTCATTGGTAGTAGTGTCCCGCGTCAGCGTCTTCCTGGTGTCCCAGGCACTCAACGCATGGCGCTTCGTCCGTCCACTGCTCCACAGCGTGTCCCACTGCCGTCTCCTCCTGCTTCCTCTCTTCCTGCTCTTGCTGACCCCGGGTCAGACTCCCTTCGACAGCCAGTCCTACTGTCACGCGTCTCTTGGCTACTGTTGTCACTGACCCTTCCTTTGTGTCCGCTGCTGCGTCTGCCTTAGTTGCTGAGCTTGTCGACTTTGCTGCCACCTATCGCCTAGACTACACTGCTAGCCTGGTTGCTGAGTCTGAGTATGTCTGTCCTCCGTCCGTCGGGGGTGAGTGTGCTCTTGGCACTAACGTCCTTGAGGACAGGCAGGAGGAGTTTGAGCTTTGCTGCTGCTTTGCCCCATCTCGTGTCCATGCTTGTTGCCCCTGAGGGAGACCCGGATGCACCAGACATCCCGACCCCATGCTCTTACGCAGAGGCAATGGCCGGTCCCTGCTCCTCTCAGTGGCAGTCAGCCATGGACACAAAGATGGCTTCCTGGAAGTCTACAGGCACCTACGTCGACGAGGTTCCCCCGCCTGGGGCGAACATCGTCAGTGGCATGTGGATTTTCAGGGTGAAGCGGCCGCCGGGCTCTCCGCCTGTCTTCAAGGCGCGTTACCTTGCACGAGGCTTCAGTCAGCGAGAGGGAGTTGACTTCTTCCAGACCTTCTCCCCGACCCCGAAGATGACCACTCTTCGGGTTCTGCTGCACGTTGCCGCTCAGCGTGACTACGAGCTCCACTCTCTCGACTTCAGCACTGTTTTCCTGCAGGCCAGCCTGCACGAGGAGATCTGGCGGCGCCGTCCACCTGGCTTCATTGGGTTGTTCCCTCCTGGTACCGAGTGGAGCCTCCGTCGGCCAGTCTACGGTCTCCGCCAGGCGCCACGTGAGTGGCACGACACACTGAGGACTACACTTGCGGCTCTTGGGTTCGCGCCTTCTACTGCTGACCCGTCGCTGTTTCTACGCACCGACACCTCACTTCCGCCGTTCTACATCCTCGTGTACGTCGACGACTTAGTCTTTGCCACTGCTGACACTGCGGCACTCCCCCACATGAAGTCGGAGCTGCAAAAGAGACACACGTTCCCAGACCTGGGTGAACTGACAAGCTATCTTGGCTTGCGGATCACCCGGGACAGAGCACGCCGCACCATCACCTTGACTCAGTCACACATGGTGCAGCAGGTCCTTCAGCGCTTCCGCTTCACGTACTCCTCGCCTCAGCCCACTCCTCTGCCTACCGGTCTCTCGCTCTCAGCTCTGCCTTCGGATGAGTCCGTAGAGCCGAGTGGCCCGTATCTAGAGCTTGTGGGTTGCCTCATGTACCTGATGACCTGCACTCGACCTGACCTTGCATACCCTCTTAGCATTCTTGCACGTTATGTCGCTCCCGGCCGTCATCGGAAGGAGCACATAGATGCAGCTAAGAGGGTGTTGCGCTACTTGTGCAGTACGTCGGGCATGGGGCTAGTGCTTGGAGGGCGAGTCCCAGTTGTTCTCACTGGGCACTCAGACGCTTCTTGGGCAGACAGCCAGGCTACTCAGCGGTCGTCTCAGGGTTACTCCTTCAGTCTTGGCTCTGGTTCAGTTTCTTGGCGTTCTACTCGCTCTTCTTCTGTTCTTAGCTCCACTTGTGAGGCTGAGATCTACGCCACAGCCATGGCGGCCCAAGAGCTACGCTGGCTCACCTACTTGCTGACCGACCTTGGAGAGCAGCCTCGTTCTCCTCCAGTGGTGTACGGCGACAACAAGTCAGCCATCGCCTTGTGTGAGGAGCATAGACTGGAGCACAGAACGAAGCACATTGCTCTGCGCTACTTCCTTGCTCGAGAGCTGCAGCAGCGTGGTCAGCTTCGCCTGCGTTACGTGGCTTCTGAGGCCAACACTGCTAATGTGTTCACCAAGGCGCTTCAGCCTTGTGACCATCAGCGCTTTTGCACTCTTCTCGGCCTTGTGCCTACTGTACCTCACTTGCTTACTTCTTGAGTCTGTTTGTACTGTGATCTCTATATATATATACCTACTTGCATGTTTACTCTTGCTAGGTTGTGATCATTGTACCTCTTGTTCAATTATCAACCTGCAGGTGAACTGGTCTTGTGACCACTTGCTTGTGCTCAGAATTTGTGTGGTATCCTTGAGATCCACCCTGAGCTTGTATTGCCTTGCTTTGCCTTGATTGGTCTTGTGACCCCTAGTTCTCCCCCCTTATTATCGAACTTGAAGACGAATGCGACACATTTTGCTTGGAGGAGATCGATACTCACAGCTTCGGTGTATGACCCCGATCCTCCCTCGATGTCGCAATTGTAGCGCGTCCTAAACCACTACCTACACGACACCGGCGTATCTACTGTGCAGAGATACACCACGAAAAAATCATATCATGCGGGAAGTTACTGAGCACTAGCCACACCATTCTCGAGAAAGTTAAGCACCTTTAGTGACACACCCACTCCCAACCGCCAAATTGTAAACCATACCGCGTGAGCTATTGTAGGGTCGATCGGATTTTCGGAATTTGAAATAGTGCTGACGTGGTGCACGAGTGGTCGACAGGATTGACATAGATCCGAAAACCGTCAAGTCGCGTGATTTTTCCTCGTTTTTCCTCCGCGTTTTTTGCCAGAGACATGCGCCTCCCCCTTCCCTGCTTCCGCGCATCTTGCTCTCGCATTTGCGAATATGTTTTCCCTCCGCGTTTCTCGCTTTCCCTGAAGCGCCTCGCGTTTTACCTCTGCGTTTTTTGCTCTCACCTTTGCCTCACGTATTACCTCCGCGTATCTTGCTCTCGCATGCGCGTCTCGCCCTCCCTCCGCGTCTCTTGCTCTCACATTCGACTCACGTTTTCCCTCCGCGTCTCTTGCTCTCACATTCGCCTCACCTTTTCCCTACGCGACTCTTGCGCTCACATTTGCCCTACGTTTTCCCTACGCGACCCCTGCGCTCACATTTGCCTCACGGTTTCCCTACGCGACTGTTGCTGTCAAATTCGCCTCACGTTTTCCCTACGCGACTCGTGCTCTCACATTCGCATCTATTCTCCCAAATCTAATAGTGGCGTGGCATCTTGAATGCTATGGTGCTCTTTGAGCTATGTTCTTTCCCTAAACGCTCACATTGAGTGAGGGAGTCGTCGTCATGACTGTCGTCGTCGTTCGTTGCGTGGAACCAGATAGGAACTGGAGCGTCGCGGCTGTTCGGCCTGTCGAGTGACTTAGGCTGTGCCCAAAAGTGATGACAGTTTGGGGGAGTGACGGTAATTCAGCAAAGGCATTGACTTTCCAGTTTGGGGCAGTTGCTTGGGGCCCAGTGTTGCGAATCACTTTGCTTTCGCCCATTCTTTTCGCGAACCATTGCGTTCGCTTTTATTCCGAACCATTCCCCCAACTTCCTCCCGAACTTAGGTTTTACCGAGTTGACCAGCTTTGAGTAAATCGGGGTTTGGCCTTCAAGGTGACAGCACCCTCTGATGCCGAGAATCGTCGTGAGGTGAGTGACAGCGCAACTTCACTTTCTTCTCTTCGCTTATTGTGTGAAACAACGAAGCATCCCACCATGATTCCTAGCTGTTCCCCTTGGTTCTCATTGCACTACATCATATCTTGATCATCCCTTACTCCTCTCATCTTCAATACTTCTCCCCCCAACCACCCTTCAGAGCGTGGACGTGGTTGATCTGCTGCCTCGCCCCATCCGGCACATCATCTTCCGCCTCCTGCTGCTGCCACCAGGCAGTTCCTGTTCCCCTCAGATGCAGACACAGGGCAATTCTTGTGAGGAAGCATCGCTGGGAACAGACAGTGCTTTGCGTGACTTCGTTCATCTACAACAACAGGCGGATTCGTTGGGGGCAGATCTCTGTTCGGGGTTCACTACCAGTCAGTTCTGCCAGGGAGCAGCATGACGAGGAGAACGTGAGGCGCTTCGGCTCCTCCTGGCCTCTGCTGCGCTGTGCCATGGCCAGCAAGGGGCTCCTTGACCATGTCATCCCCTTCTCTGTGAGTCACGATGCGTTGCTTCCCCCTTCCACTCACCTGCATCTTTTCCACCATGTCATCTCCTTCTCTGTGAGGGCTTCCCTGCTCCCCGTTTTCCACCCGCCTGCGTCTTGACTCTTCACCACCATGTCATCTCCTTCTCCGTGAGTCATGCACTGGTTCTGCATTCCATCATACAACCTCCTCTGGTACATTGCAAATCATGCCATGGGAATCTTCACTTCTATGTGTGTGCAGGAGCTGCAGCCCATCTCCCTTGTATTCAACTACGACGATCTGCAGTGGAGAGTGATGCTCTCCCTGTTCCGGGCAGGTCACAAGTCCCTTGACCTCGAGTTCAATAGCTTGGTAGATATTCACAGCCTCGGCCTTCTCATGTGGTCCACTGCTCACTCGCTCACAAGCCTGTCCCTTGGGGTCAAGGATTCGTCTCCTCCATATGAAACTATTCAGTACAAGCTGATTGATCCGGCCTTTTTCAGGGAATTTGGGCAGCTACAGAGGCTGAATCTAGGACGTGGAAAGTGGGAAGTAGACAATTTGAATGCAGCATGGTTTACGGCACTAAGGAGTCTGACCATCGAGCATGCGGACAGCAAGGACGATGACTGTATTTTTCTGTCTTCCATTGCACCGCAGCTCCATGAACTCTCTCTTTCTACCTCTAGCCGTCAACCTTGCAGCCTCCGACTCGAGCTCTCAGCTGCTCAAGTTATCACCATCCGTTTTGAGCAGCAGAGCCTTGATGTTTGCTTCTCCCTCACACCCTCCTTAAAGGCCTTTTCCATTGCAGCAGAGAATTTACAAGTTGACTGCCTGTGCTCCAACCCTCTCTTTCTCGACTCCCTCACTCTGATTGGCCGCAGGAAGCTTGTCGTTTCTTCGCTCCCAGTAGCTTCTGCCAAAGCAGTATATTTGAACGGACCAACCACCCTGGTTCAGCCCAGCTTGCCATATGATGAAGTTTCTGGCCGCTCTTCCATCTCTCAACAATCAGTGACCGCCTCTCTGCTTTCCTTGTCGCAGCTACTCAGCAGCATAGCGCCTACAGTGGAGACGCTTATAGTGAGGCATGGCTCACCTCTAGAGGAAGTGCATGCAGAATGGAGCTGCCTGCGCTGCCTTGCCATTGGTGCAAATGGCAGGGGAGTTGGTTTCAGCTACATGACCTCAGTGGAAAACGATGGGTGTGCTGAATACTGGAGAAGGAGGTTCCTTTTGGAGGATGACGAGAGCAGCAGCAGCAGCAGCAGCGCCGAGCAGGAAATCATCCGGCCCCCCTTCATCGATGCTTTAAAGCTGGAATTCATTTTCTTTGCAACCCGGCAGTGGCTGCCCGAGACGCTGGCTTCTCTACACTGTGATTTCCCTTCTCTCAAATTCTACTGCATTGTAGGGAGGTCCTTTCGGTGGGAGGGGGAGGCAGAGAAGAGGAGCAATGAACCCTTAGTGGAGGTGAGGCCAGATCGTGCCACACACAGCATGAACCAGGGCATTGTGCAGGATGATCGGATCATGAACTTTCTTCAAGTTATCTGATTTACTTCATGCCACGAGACGACAGGAGAGGGGAGAAATCGATCGGAGTTTGTGAGTTTGCAAGGTAGACAACTGTGAGAGGTGTGTGACAGGGAGGTGTGCAGTGATGAGCAGGATGGGTGCTGCGGTGGCAATAGAGGTGTCCATGGGTGGTGCGCACTTGATTCTGTAATGGAGTTTGTGGTGTGGGTGAGCGGCAGAATTGAGGATGGGAAGGCATGAGTGGAAGAGAGGGAAGTTTGGGATGGTGCGTGGGTGGCATCACATACAAACAGTACAAAGGAAGCAGCCAATGGGATGTGAGGAGGTGCAGAGGGCTTGGTGGCACCTTCCAGTCCAGTGGAGCTTTAACTTGGGGCATGATATTGGGGGTTGATGAAGAGATCTGTTACCAGTATGAAGAGCAAATACTGCCGCTGCTGCTGCTGGTTGCGTGCTGGTGCTGCATGCTGTGGAAGCCTTCGATTGAGCATGAAATCGCACGATTGGCACAAAATGTGTATGCATAGGCATACGGTAATCACTGGCAGAAGGGGGATGGGAGGTAAGATATTGTATGACTACCCTCCCTGATCAAACACTGTATTGTTTTCAGGATTTTAGTTAACTGTAAGTGTATTAATTCATAAATATTATTCATCCCTTTCCCAATTTGTTTTTCCGAATGGCATGTTCACACCAATGAATATATTATTGCTGTAAGAGTAGTAGCCCTCCAGAGACTCCCATTGTACTTCAAACGGGTATGCGCGATTTGCCCTCGAGAACCAGCAGCAAGCGTAGGTCTTTCGAGTTTCTGGAGGTGTGTGAAGCATAGCAACTCGGCAGACTTGAGAGTCCAGCGACGCGATGAACGCGATTCACGGATTCATGTCGACGAGTGGTATTGCTTGTAGCGGCGCGACCACGGGTTGCATGATGCGTGAGGTGCTTGTCAATTTCTTGAAACGATTTCTAGAAGCTTCAAAACCTGGTCAGAAAATCGTTTGTCCAATGAGACCGTTGCAGCTGCCACTTGTCCGCGTCCTGAAGCCAGGGAACTCGATCGCCAGCTGTCGGAGCCAAAACAACAGCATGGTTATCGCCGTTCATCGATCCGAAATTCCCAGAGGCATCCCGCGCAGCACCCCTCGGAACCCCGGTCCTCGCTTACTGTCCATTCCTTCCACCGCTGCTTAGCATCCTCCTGCCTCGCCGTGTCGCGCTGCTACGGGCTAAATCAATCCGCCGCGGCGGCCGCCATGGCGACGACGGGCGAGCCTCGCCGTGGCCGAACCTGACAGGCGAGGGTATTGCTTGTAGAACCCCCTTGCCGCGGCCCAGCTTCAGCCGCTGCAGACGTGGGCAGTCAAAGGAGTGCGTCCAGTAGTCCTCCTCCACCTCATCCCTATCGCCCTGCTCCACTGTGTCAAACTGATGCGCGGAGTCCACACAGCCGCGCAGCTTGAGGCTGAGCGAGGTGAGGGAGGAGAACTGCCACTGGTCCTGCGAGCAGAGCGTGTGCAGCTGCATGATGTGCGTGTAGGTGAGGGCGAGGGACTTGAGGCCGCGCCAGGAGCAGGAGCTTGTAGGTGAGGGCGACGGACCCGCAGGCGCATCGCAAGTGGCCCTTCTCCTCCGTCACCTCACCACTCGGCCTGCGAGCAGAGCGTGTGCAGCTGCATGATGTGCGTGTAGGTGAGGGCGAGGGACCTGAGGCCGCGCCAGCGCAGGAAGAAGGCAACGCTTCTCTCCCACTGCGGGTGTAGGTCGTTGTAGACCAAGGAGATGGGGTGATGGGCCTGCGGAGAGGAGAGGGATGCGGGAATGGAACACCAAAAGGCTCTTCAATCCTGATTTGAAGTGCGATTGAAAGGAGGCGACGCTCCTCTCCCAGTGTGGCTGCAGGTTGTTGTATACCAAGGAGATGGGGTGCTGGGCCTGCGGAGCGGAGAGGGATGGGAGAAGGAGTGCGGCGCCGGAAAGTTGTTAACAATCCAGACCTGAAGTGCGATGCACAGGAGGCGACGCTCCTCTCCCGTTGCGGGTGCAGATCGTTGTAGACCAAGCATATGGGGTGCTGGGCCTGCAGAGACGGATGGGTGCGAATGGAGGAGGGAATATGAAAGTGGGAGAGGAGCATGATGTGTGTGTAGGTGAGCGCGAGGGACCTGCGGGTGCAGATGGTTGTAGACCAAGGAGGATATGGTGTGCTGAGCCTGCAGGGAGGAACAAGTGATGACGGAGAGAGAGTGTGAAGCATGTCCTAGAGAGGAGAGAGGCTGACGCTTCTCTGCAGTAGTGGGCGCAGATGGTTGAAGCAGTGTTTTAAGACCAGCGCGATGAGGTGCTGGGCCTGCAGAGAGGAACAAGCGACGGAATGGGATGGGAATTCTGGTGCTTGATTGGTTGTTGCTCTTTTGAACTGTCTGGACCCGTTCTAGCAGATGCACATCCAACCCATGTTGGATTTCACATGGCATGCGTTTCAGAACCTATGACCCATGTCGGCAGTTAGCGCGCTCAAATCCCGAGTGCAACAGGTAAGAAGCTAAGACAAGGCACACTGAACGGTATTGGGCTGAAAAGGGCAGGACATGTGATGGTTGCGGCAATCAATTCCCGAGTGCGACGGGTCTGTTGAGGAAAAGAGGTGAGCACTCACAGCCGAGGCATTCCAAACATCAAGTCAAGCACAGACAGAGCAGCACTCACGGAGAAGGAGAGGACGAGCGTGAGGAGCCTCTTGCTGGCCATGGCGCAGCACAGCAGTGCCCACCCGCTGCCGTAACTCTTCGCATTCTTCCGGTGCTGCCCGACTGCCGTGAAGTCAGGGTCCACAAATTTCACGGGCAGGTTTCTGCCCGCTGGGGGCTGTGTTGTGGCGGTGAGATACCAGGGCGTCTTTCGTCTGCTGTGGACGAGGGGGTTCTCGGGGTGCGAGGAGCCGGGCGGCAGCAGCAGGCAGCGGAACACTCGGTGCCAGAGAGACGCCGGTAGCATGTCCATGGGATCACGGGGGGTGGCGGCTGGTAGGAGAGATGGGTGAGATGAGTGGGAAGGGAGATTATGCAGGGAGTGAAGTGAAGGGGGAAAGTGAGTAACCGGCAGCGTGTCTATGGGATCACAGCCCACTGTTGGAGCTGGCGGATGGGATGGGTGCGATGGGAGAGATGGGTGGGATGGGAGAGATGGGTGCGATGGGAGAGATGGGTGGGATGGGAGAGATGGGTGGGATGGGTGAGATGGGTGGGATGGGTGAGATGGGTGGGATGGGTGAGATGGGTGAGATGGGTGGGATGGGTGGGATGGGTGGGATGGGTGCGATGGGTGGGATGGGTGGGATGGGTGAGATGGGTGGGATGGGTGGGATGCTGCATGTCCACCTGAGGGTGGGAGCACACGCGAAGGGCCTAAATTAAGTTGTTTTGAACGACATCTTTGAGTGATCTGCTCTGCCATTTCCATGCAAGCACTTCTCGACGCACCCAACAATTCCCACCCAGGCCCAAAAGGCCCGATCGTGCAAATCATGAGGGTGACGCAGTGGAATTCAACGACCTAATGTTTTGAGTCTCTTTCGCAAAATGAGCGACAGAGAAAACGATGAAAATTTGGTGCTGGTGTGAAATTGTTAGGAATTGAGAGGGGATCTGTAGAAGGGACGAAAATTGAAATCATGAATACTGCATGAGCTACTAGGTTCGCACTGAACGCGTATCTCCGCGACGAGGAGGAAAGGCGGGAGCGAAATCAACGAATGACGGACAGTTTAGAATGAGGTGGATGGGAGAGGACCTAATACTCACACGGAATCCCAGCGAGAGTCATCTAAGCAGGAAGGTGCTTCTCGCTCCGAGCGTGAAGGCAATGGCGCGAAAAGCGGGATGCCGAGACGCGAAGCAATAGAAGTGCTTGCCTTTTGAGTCAGCATTGCTCTTCCGTCTCTTCGTCTCCCGTCGCTCGCGCTCTCTCAGCTCGGCCGTGCCATCGCCAGTAGTACCCTCCAGCGATGCCGCCATGGCGATCGAACAATCATGAGCACCCGATCCACATGGTGAGTAGTGAAATAATTTTCGTGTCGTGCATATGCACTCGTCATTAGACTAGGGCGTACTTTCCTCGACTCTAGCTGCCGACCCCGTGTAGCACTGGCCCGTTGTCCTACACGTAGAAAAAACTACATCAGAACTCGCCTCACCAACTCTTCGTCCTTCGGCTTGAGTCGAGTTGAGAGATCACACCATTTTGTTCAGAGTTCGTTTGACGCAGTTTAATATGGTCAGCTACGTTTGGGGGCGGTTCCTAGATTTCACCGCTCTAGACCACTGCGCACCAGAGTGAACCTTTCAAAGTCAGATGCAAGCGGATGACCTCAGATTCACGCCCCACTGCATCGAGCCCAGCTGATAATCCCGTGATACGCGAAACGGTACAGTGCTGTGTTACGTATTCCGCGAAACTTCGAAGCTATCCATTCCCTTGACAACGTGAAGCCGCGTTTTACGATTTCAGCGACGGAGGGATTGGTTTTGCCGTGAATCGAGACACCTTAACACGGGTATACGAGGTTTCCCTCACAGACCTGGCAGTGTGTGGTGTGTGTGGAGGTTACCTAGACCTTACGAGTTGAGCAATGCGTGCTAAGTTTAGAATCTCGACGACAGCGACGAGATGGACTCTACTGCATCTGCAGATGGCTACGGTATCTGCAGTTCAATTCACTAGGACGCGAGCCAACAAGGTGGACAGGAGATCATGTCGACGCGTAGTAGCTGCTAGCGGCGGAACCACCAGTTGCATGACCGAAGCGTGTGACATTTTTCAAAGCCACTTAGAAGCAATTTCTGAGGAGCCTCAAAACTTCTAAAAATTCGTCTGTCCAATGAGACCGTTGCAGCTGCCACTAGTCAGCCATTAGAAGCCTGGGAATCCAGTGCCAGCTGTCGGAGCCAAAGCACCAGCATGCTAATCGCCGGCCATTATTCCAGAATATTCAGAGGCATCCCGCGGAGCACCCCGCGCAACCCCGGTCCTCGTGTCTTGGTGTCCATCCCTTCCGCCGTTGCTCAGCATCCTCGTGCCGCGCCATCATGTCGCGCTGCTACTGGCTCAATAGACTGTCGCCCATCGCAGCGTCCGTCGCCGCCGGCAAACATCATCAATAGACTGTCGCCTTTGCCAGCTACTTCAACTTTTGAGTCGACTCAAAAGCCTTTGCCAGCTACTTTAAAACTGCGCTCTCCGCCGATCTTTCGCCATGAAGGATTTCGGCGATCCACACACACGCTGTTCGCGTCGAAGCGCGAGAGCTTGTGGCGGAGCCGCAACATGGCTGGAGAGGCGGTGGACGCCGTTCAAGAGCTGAAACTGGCCGCCGTGCTGGACGCTCGAGACGAGCAGCGCCGGTGGGAGGAGGAAGAGGAGGAAGAGGAGGAGGAAATGGGGGAACTGGAAGAGAGCGAGGAGGAAGAGAAGGTCGGTTTGACCAGCGCTGATACCTCACCCGAGGCAGGGAGCGCGGGCGCGGGCGCGGGCGCGGGGAAGCGGTGGGTGTGCGGGCCGCGCGTGGAGGCGGTGATGCGCAGCAAGGTGGCGCGGCTGGTGAAGCCGGACATGCTGCTGGCCCTGCAGGAGCTGCAGCGCCAACAGCAATGGCGCCTGGCCGCGCGGGTGAGAAAGAGAGTGAGAGAGGTGACGGTGAGGGGGTCAAAGATTTTTCGGAACAGTAGGAACGGATGGGTGGGTAGTACCTGGAAGCGTGGGGAGTATGGCGGAGTGTGGTAGAGCGACGAAGGAAGGAGAGAAAAGAGGGAGACGGAGAGCATCCAATCGAACAGAGAAGAACGAGCAGTTGCTAATAGAGTTTGCCACAAAAGGACTATGAGTCTTCTCCCTGTCATGATCACTGGTGTTGGAAACGTGAAGGGTTTGGGAGGGTTTTGGTGTATGTGGGGAGGGTTTTGGTGTGTGTGGGGAGGGTTTTGGTGTATGTGGGGAAGAAGATCTCTTTGAGGGTTTACTTCCTACCACGATGTCAACTTGATTTCCTGCGAGTGTTAGCACACGATTGCAGCACGATTCCCACAGCAGCACGATTCCCACAGCAGCACTCTCATGTTTAGTCCAATGTCATTCCCCTCACTATGTTCTCTCCCTCCCCTCACTATGTTCTCTCCCTCCCCTCACTATGTTCTCTCCCTCCCCTCACTATGTTCTCTCCCTCCCCTCACTATGTTCTCTCCCTCCCCTCACTATGTTCTCTCCCTCCCCTCACTATGTTCTCTCCCTCCCCTCACTATGTTCTCTCCCTCCCCTCACTATGTTCTCTCCCTCCCCTCACTATGTTCTCTCCCTCCCCCCCACAGTGCCTTCTTTTCTGTCTTCCACCTCCCCCACTTTCCCACCCCTCCCTGTGTCCGAGGGTCGGTTCCCATGTCACATTTATACGTTGCATCAATCATTGTACCCATGGTCAATGCTCATATCAATCTTAACACCCCTGTCATGCCTCCTTATGCCATCGTTCTTCCCGATGCACACTTGTCTACGATACCACCCTCCCTGCCTTCCCTTCCCTCCATATGTCCCTTTCTCCAGCGCAAGCTTTTACGTAGTGAGTTCTCGTTGTGGGTCCATATTACATCTTCTCTCTCCATGTGCTCGTTTCTCCATGTGCTCGTTTCTCCTGTGTTTCATTCTTCGCTGGCCTTTTCTACAGCTGTTAAGCCCATAAACCCCTCTTCCGCTCCTCCAACCCTCCCTCCCTCACGTCCCTCCGCCAAAGCCTCCCCCACACAGCTCCTACTTACGACTCCCTCCATTCAGGGTAAACATCTCCCTCCGCCTGCATCTCTCCCTCCCACCCCCCATGCCACCTGCATTTCTCTCAGGTGTTTGAGCACGTGCGCACGGAGCACTGGTACAAGCCCGACGCGGACCTCTGTGCGCGCATGATCAACTGCCTGGGGCTGGCCGGCCGCATCACCGACGCACAGGCGCTCTTCCGGGCCACACAGGACGAGGACGGCATGCCCCCCTGCTCGCCCACCTACACTGCCCTGCTCGCCGCTCACTGCCGCTCCGGGGACCACAGGAGCGGCCGGGAGGTGCTGCGAAGGATGAGGGAGGCACGGGCGGGGCCGTATGATGCGGCGTACATGATTCTGATCAAGACGTGTGAGGCGCAGGGGGATGCGGGGGCAGCAGCGGAGTTGAAGCAGGAGCGGGATGTGGTACTGGCAGAGTGGGGGCAGTTGGGGCTGCCTAAACCCCCACGGCGGTCAAAGAAGATGTAGGCCGATTGTGCAATGATTCGTTTGCTCTCCTCTCGTGCAATGAGTCGACTCTAAAATCGGCTCATCACTCGTAGTTGGGTTGGGGCTGCCTAAACCCCCAAGGCGGTCAAAGAAGTACCGGTAGGCCGATTGTGACAAGACTCCGAAAGGAGCCTGCAATGCAATGATTCGGGGTTTGCTCTCCTCTCCTCTCGTCTCGTGCGATGATGTTTGTGTTTGCTTGGTGGTGGTGGCCAGTTGTGGAAGGTGGTGTTGTAAGCAGTTCTGGCTGGAGCATGTCACCTTTACGTTACGCACATTCAGAGCTCTGGTTTGACACTGGAGTAGCTGCAATACCCCATCGGCTAACCTATGGTTGTGAAGTGATGAGTTGGATGCCTGCTGAAAGGGTGAGCAGCTATGACCTGCTGAAAGGGTGAGCAGCAGCTATGACGTGCTGAAAGGGTGAGCAGCAGCTATGACCTGCTTGTGGTGTGGTGCAGGGCCCACGATATCAGGGCAAAACATCCTGATTACCCTGATTTCAGGATGGTGTTTTAAGTTTGCCCTGAAATTTCAGAATGACGATGAAATTTACCCTGTAACGTCAGGATGATTCATGTGTTTTGCCCTGAAATTTCAGAATGGCAGTGAGATTTTGCCCTGAAGCGTTAGGGTGAATGTAGAGGGATGCCCTGACTCATGGGAAGGAGAAGAAGGGGTGGAGGGGAGGGGGGGGAGAGGGGGAGAGGGGAGGAGGGAGGCTCGGGGGTGTGTGTGCTAGTTTTGTCCCCCCCCCCCAAGGTTTTTGCTCAGCCCATTGTAGTGAAACCACTGAACAACCTGCTCCTCTCGTGGCTTCCCCTCCACTCTAGTGTCTTGTATTTTTTTGCCCTGAAACATCCGGATGAATTTCTGCTGGTGCCCTGAAATTTCAGGATTGCCAGGAAATTTTGCCCTGAAAAATCAGGGCATTTTGGAGAGTTTTCAAAAGTTGCCCTGAGGGCTCAGGGTGCCCTAAATCCTAGCACAGGCCCTGGTGTGGTGGTCCATGTGTAAAATGGTTTGGCTCAAGCCTTTTTCAGTACACATTTGGCTTCCGCACTTCTACGTGTTCTTCCTGTATCATAGAAATTGCAGCCTTCAAGCATTTGCTATCGGACGGAACAAACAAACAAGGTGAAATAATAATTTAGCATCTTACAGTGCTTCTGCTGCACCATTCCAACCACATCCATTCCACCCCCATGAAGCATCATAAACATAAAATGTACTGCACACCAAACTCAGACATCATAAATACCGTATCAAATGCACACCAAACTCAGACATCATAAATACCGTATCAAATGCACACCAAACTCAGACATCATAAATGTTGGGAAAAATAAGTCTTAAAGCGCCTCTGTCGTGTCGAAACTCAGGACGCAAGCGAAGCAGTCCGAATCGAAGCATCGCGAGTCAACCCTCGGAGGTTAGGGTAACCGCTGGAGGTTACGCGAAGGTCAAAGGTCAGCGACCTTTGACTTGACAAATACAGCGTGACAGCAAGGTGTCAAATGTTGTAGCCTGTAGTGAGGTTTGTCTTAGGGGGTACAGAAGTTAGGGTTTGTTATATGTACCCCAACCAACATCAATGGCATCATCATTCCTCATTTTGACATGGTATCAGCTAGGTTAGGATCCTGTGGGATCCCGTTCCTCCGTTCTCCGTTCGTCCCTCCCGAGCCTAATCCTACCTCTCGTTCGTACCGGTTCCGTTGTTACCGCGCCTAGTACCGAGCCTAGCGCCCTCTCCCCCGTCGCTTAGCGCCCTTTCTCCCCGTCGCCTAGCGCCCTTCCCCCCCCCCCCCCCCCCCCCCCGTCGCGTCGCGCCCTTTCCCCCCGTCGCCTAGCGCTCTTTCCCCCCGTCGCGTCGCGCCCGTTCCCCTCGTCACGTCGTGCCCGCCCTTTCCCCCCCGTCCCGTCGCCCTGTCCCGTCGCGTCGCCCTGCCCCGTCCCGTCGCCCTGCCCCGTCGCGTCGCCCTGCCCCGTCTCGTCACCCTGCCCCGTCGCGTCGCCCTGCCCCGTCGCGTCGCCCTGCCCCGTCCCGTCACCCTGCCCCATCGCGCCGCCCTGCCCCGTCGCGTCGCCCTGTCCCGTCCCTACGCCCTGGCCCGTCGCCCTACCCTACGCCCTGGCCCGTCGCCCTACCCTACGCCCTGGCCCGTCGCCCTAGCCCGCTCTTCCGCTGCGACTGAGTCCCCTTCCCACCTGAACCCTAATTTGCCTCTTCTCCTCGGTTGTTACTCGCCTGTTCGTTCGCGTTAGTTCTCACTATGGCGACTCCGCGAGTTCTTCGTTTCGACGCTGACGGTAGACCACTTGACTTTTCCGTCTGGCTTCTTCGCGCTCGCCGTCTGTTAGAGAGTCAGGTCCAGGGGGGCGAGACCCTCTGGTCGCACGCTACTGGTGACCTCCCCGAGCCCCCCGAGCCTACAGCTTTAGGCTCTGCCCCTGACGACGCTGCTACGGCTCGCTTTGCCCGTCAGCGCGCTGACCGGACGGCTTGGACGTCGCGTGACGCTGCGGCCTGCATCGCACTCAGCAGCCTCCTCCCTGAGTCAGAGGAGGTCCACTTTACTCAGGTTCGCACCGCTACTGCGTACCTCACTGCGATTAAGGCCCGCTACTCTACTCCCGCTACTGTCTCTCTTGGCCGTCTTTTCCTCCCGTTCCTGTTTCCTGATCTCGCCTCGTTTGAGCGCTCTGCTGACTTGATCGCTCACCTCCGCTCGCTCGACGCTAGTTACCGCGCTGCTTGCACTGAGGCACAGCTTGCACTGCTTCCTCCCCCCATGGCGATTACTGTCTATTTCATCGCCACTAGCCTCCCTGACCGCCTAGCCTCCGTTCGTGACGCGCTTCTGCTGAAGCACCCTAGTGAGCTGACTATCGAGGTCCTTGAGTCTGCACTCAAGGACGTCGAGAGCAACCTTCGCTCGGTAGCTGCCGCCTCTGGTACTGTGTCCCCCCCACTCTTCCACGGGTGCACAGTCCCGCAGTTACCCACCTTCACTGCCTCTCTCGCCACTGCCGCTACTGACGCGACTGCGGCTGCTGTTACGACTGCGTCGCGGTCCCGCGGCAAGGGGGGCAAGAATGGTAGTTCTGGTGGAGGTGGAGGTGGAGGTAGCGGAGGTAGTGGGGGTGCTGTTGCGACTGGCGGTGGTGGGAGTGCAGCGTCTGGAGAGACCCCTCGTGCAGCGGCTGGTGACTCCACTGCACCTGCTGGTGGCGGCGACCCCCGAGCTCGTCAGTCGCCTCCTGTACTGCCGACCCCGCTAGGTGGAGCAGCGGCGTGGTACCAGGCTCAGCGTCAGCAGCACCTTCAGCAGCAGCAGCAGCCCCTTTCCTCCCGCCAACCTCAGCAGCAGCAGCGTCAGCAACTGGCTCCGGGGTCGGGGCTGCGTCAGCCCCAGCGCGGTGCTTCTTACCCTCCCTGCACCTATCAGGTTCTGACAGGTCCTCGTCGGGGCCACCCTTGTGGCTGCTTTCACCCCCCTGGTCAGTGCTTTGCTCAGCTCACTGACACGGTCCGGTTGGCCTACGGGGTTGGCGGTCCTGCTCTTGACTGGCTTCCTCTGGTTCAGCGCTACGGCTCCGCTCTGTGGGGCATGTCTGCTGAGCAGTTAGTTGATCTGATTGGTGCTCCTCATGCTATGTATGCTGTTGTTGACTCTAGTGTTTCTGACTCTATTTACTCTGGTGTTGTTAGCTTAGGTGCTAGTCTTGCTCAGTTGCCTGTTGCTAGTGTAGGTTCTTGTGTAGACTCTAGACCAGCGACTACCTCAGAGGACGCTTCGCTGTCGTTCACGCTGGACTCTGGAGCCTCACACTGCTTCTTCAGCACGTGGTGGGCGTGCGACCCCTCGTGAGTCAGCACGTGGGTGTGTGGTTTGAGCCTTCTGGAGAGACTGCGGTGTGTGTTGACGGAGACTCTTACCAGCCTCTTGCTACCTTTACTGCTGAGCCGGGCTCAGGTCTCTACACTCTTCACACTGGCCCGCGTGCGCCGCAGCAGCAGCCGCAGCAGCAGCAGCAGCCGCAGCCGCAGCAGCAGCAGCAGCAGCAGCAGCTGCACCAGCGGTCGCACCAGCAGCCGCCCCTACTGCCACTGCCCCCGGTTCCCCCCCCCCCGTTCGGGTCCCCGCGTCTCACCAGGTTGCTTCGTCCCCCCAGGTGTCTATGTCGTGTCAGGTTCCTACGTCTGCTCCAGTCGCTGCGTCGTGCTCCTGCCGGTCGCTTGCCCACCCCACCGTTCTGTGGCACCACCGGATGGGGCACCCGTCCCTTCCTCGTCTGCGCGCTATGTCTAGTCAGCGTCTTGTCCTAGGCCTCCCACGTGTCTTGCCGTCGCTGCCGCCTTCGCTTGCGCCGCCGTGTGGTCCCTGCGTCGAGGGTCGGCTGCGCGCCGCCCCTCACTCCTCCTCCCTTCGTCCGGCCACCGAGCCTTTTGAGACGCTTCACTTGGACGTCTGGGGCCCCGCCCCTCGTCTAGGCCCTGAGCGTGAGCGCTACTTTCTGGTGGTCGTTGACGACTTCTCCCGCTACACCACAGTGTTCCCTCTGGCGAAGAAGTCTGAGGTGACTTCTACGCTGATCAGGTGGTTGCTCACCACCGAGGACACTCGTGGTCGTCGTGTCAGCTGCCTCCACTCCGACCGTGGGGGTGAGTTTCGCTCCGGCATTCTCGCTGGATTCTGTCGCGAGCAGGGCATTCGTCAGTCCTGGACGCTTCCAGAGTCCCCACAGCAGAATGGGGTTGCTGAGCGCCGCATAGGCCTGGTCATGGAGATCGCCCGCACCTCCCTGACTCACGCCTGTGCCCCCCATTTTCTGTGGCCCTACGCGGTCAGGTACGCCGCGCACCAGCTGAACCTCTGGCCACGTGTCTCTCGACCAGAGGTTTCACCGACCAGTCTTTGGACAGGGTCCCCTGGTGTTGCGTCGCGGTTTCGTGTCTGGGGGTGCTTGGCTCTTGTCCGCGACACCTCCGCGGACAAGCTCTCGCCTCGTGCCGTCCCCTGTGTCTTCCTTGGTTTCCCTGAGGACTCCTCTGACTTCACCTTTTACCACCCTCCCTCTCACCGGTTCTTTGACTCCCGTGACGTCCGTTTCGAGGAGTCCACTCCGTACTACGTCAGGTACCCCAGTCGAGGTCTTCAGGTTCCTCCTCCCCCCCTCTTCCTGACTGCCGCTCCCCCTCCTGTTCCCCCGGTACAGCCTCCCCCCCCTGGTCCAGCCCCGTCGGGTGTGTCCCAGGCTACCCCTCCTCCTTCGGTAGCCTCTCCGGTACAGCCTCCCTCCCCACAGTCCTCCTCGCAGCGTGCCGCAGGTGCTAGCTCTCGAGAGGTTGGTGCTGCGCCTGCTCCTGTACCGGTTTCTGGTTCTGGGGGTGGTGGAGTTGGAGCTGGAGTTGGAGCTGGAGTTGGAGCTGGAGTTGGCACTGGAGTTTCTGGTTCTGGGGGTGCTGGGGTTGGAGCTGGAGTTGGAGCTGGAGTTTCTGGTTCTGGAGTTGGAGCTGACCCGGTGGGTGCAGAGGACTCTTGTCGTCCGGGAGCTAGTGCTGGTCGCGCGGACACTGGGGGTGAGAGTGCGCCTCCTTCGGGTTCTGGTGAGCCTGGGTCTGGAGCTGGTGTTAGTGCTGCCTCTGGGGGTGGTGCGCCTGGTTCTTCGGGGGTGGACTCTGGAGCTACCGCTGCTTCGGACACTACTCCGCCCCCCCACCCCTACCCGACTAGGCACCAGGCTCGTGTTCGCCGTGCCCGTGACGAGCAGCTGGCGTTGGAGAGAGAGGAGAGGGAGTTACAGCGGCTGGAGGAGCAGCAGCAGCAGCTGGAGCCGCAGGAGGAGCAGCAGCAGCAGCAGCAGCAGCTGGACCCGCAGGAGCAGCAGTCCCAGCAGCAGCCGCTTCCGCAGCAGCAGCAGTCGCAGCAGCAGCAGCAGCAGCAGCCACTTCCTCCTCCTGTCTCGGGTCTTCGGACCCTTGGTCTCCCCTCCCCTTCTCCTCCCTCCTCCGCCTCTCCTCCTGTCTACGGTCCCACGTTTCCTCCTCCTGACTCCTCCCCCGCTGTTTTCCCCAGTTCTCCGCCTTTGTCCTCTCCTCCTCCGTCTCGTTCTTGGGCTACTCGTCGCTCCCCTCGTGCTCGTCCCTCGTCTCCTGTTCCCTTCACTGACCTTCGTACTGCCTTCCTTCTTTCTAGTCCACCTCGTCCGTCTCAGTCTGTGCTTCCGTCTCCTCCTGAGTCGGCTCTCACTGTGTCGCTCCCTACTCCTGTCACTGACTACTACCGCACGTACCGTCCTGTTCTCTCTCGTGTTCTCGCCTCTCTTGTTACTCACCCTCGTGCCTCTGTGTCCTCTGTGTCCGCTCTTACTGCCGCAGTTACTGACTTTGCCTCTACCCGCCGCCTTGACTACGCCACCACGCTTGTGGCTGCTCCTCCTACCAGTCCTCTGGCCGTCGGGGGTGTGTCTGCCCTTGGCTGTGACGCCCTAGAGGACAGGCAGTTTGAGCTAGAGTTCCTGGCGGCCGCTTCCCCTCATCTCTGTGCCATGCTCCTCGCCCCTGAGGGTGACCCCAACGCCCTTGACATTCCGACTCCTCGCACTTACGCTGAGGCAGTGTCAGGGCCTTGGGCCTCTCAGTGGAGAGCTGCCATGGACGCAGAGATGGCCTCCTACAGATCCACAGGCACCTACGTCGATGAGGTTCCCCCCCCTGGGGCGAACGTAGTCGACGGCATGTGGATCTACAGGGTGAAGCGGCCACCGGGATCTCCCCCGGTCTTCAAGGCGCGCTACGTGGCTAGAGGTTTCAGTCAGCGCGAGGGAGTTGACTTCTTTCAGACCTTCGCACCTACCCCGAAGATGACCACTCTTCGGGTGTTACTACACGTAGCAGCACAGAGAGACTACGAGTTACACTCTCTCGACTTCTCCACTGCTTTCCTTCAGGGCAGCCTACACGAGGAGGTCTGGTTGCGTCGTCCCTCGGCCTTCACTGGCACCTTCCCTCCTGGGACCCAGTGGAGGCTGAGGCGACCTGTTTACGGTCTTCGCCAGGCCCCTCGTGAGTGGCACGACACTCTGCGTTCTACCCTCTCTGACCTTGGGTTCCAGCCGTCTTCTGCCGACCCGTCGCTGTTCGTTCGTCGTGGCTCCACACCGTTCTTTGTTCTGGTTTACGTCGACGACCTCGTTTTCGCCACTCCGGACAGGGTTGCTTTGGCAGACGTGAAGTCCGAACTGCAGAAGAGACACACGTGCACTGATCTTGGTGAGCTGCGCCACTACCTTGGCCTGCAGATCACCAGGGACAGAGCCGCTCGCACCATTACACTCTCAGAGTCACACATGGTGCAGCAGGTCCTTCAGCGGTTCGGGCTTCAGCACTCCACCGTACAGCGCACACCTCTCGCTGTTGACCACAGACTCACTGGTCCCTTTCCTGACGAGCCGTTTGAGCCTAGTGGTCCCTACGCAGAGCTTGTGGGTTGCCTCATGTACCTGATGACTTGTACTCGCCCGGACCTCGCCTTCCCTCTCAGCATCCTTGCGCGCTTTGTTGCGCCAGGGAGACACCGTCCTGTTCACTGGACGGCAGCTGTGAGGGTGGCGAAGTACCTAGCGACTACATCAGGCGTGGGGCTAGTTCTTGGAGGGCAGCAGTCTGTCGTACTCACTGGTCACTGTGACTCCTCTTACGCTGACGACGCTGAGACTCACAGGTCTACTCAGGGGTACTGTTTCAGTCTGGGTTCTGGAGCTGTTTCCTGGCGTTCCACGCGCTCCTCTTCTGTCTCGACCTCTACAGCTGAGGCTGAGATTTACGCTGGTGCCATGGCGGCACAGGAGTTGCGTTGGTTGACCTTCTTGCTCGCCGACCTTGGTGAGCGGCCGAGCTCTGCACCGACCTTGTTCACTGACAACAAGGCGTCGATCCTCCTCTGTCGTGAGCCGCGACTGGAGAGCAGAGTGAAGCACATTCACGTCAGGTACTTTCTTCTGCGAGAGTTGCAGAGACGTGGACAGGCTCGCTTCGAGTTTGTGGAGTCCGAGGCCAACACTGCAGACATCTTCACCAAGGCGCTTCCGCCTCGTGACCACCAGAGGTGTTGTGTGCAGTTAGGCCTTGTTGACACAGGTTCTAGTCATGTGTAGGCTTGAGTTTATTGCCTGCTTCGTCTGTACTCTTGCTATATATACTTGTGATCTCTTGGACTGGCCTTGTGGCCACTGTTGCTTGTGCTCAGAGAGTGTGGTGACGTTGTGATCCACCCTGAGCTTTGTTTTCTTTTGGACTGGTCTTGTGACCGTACTCTTTTTTATTTTGCTAGACACCCCTCACTTAGGCTATGGGGGTGTGTCAAATGTTGTAGCCTGTAGTGAGGTTTGTCTTAGGGGGTACAGAAGTTAGGGTTTGTTATATGTACCCCAACCAACATCAATGGCATCATCATTCCTCATTTTGACACAAGGACACACAACCAGGGCTCTTGCTAGGATTTTGGCCTGTCTGAAAACACCAAAGTAAAAAATCATTCCGTCTGATGATCAGACCGGCATATTTTTCTGGTCTGATTTTCCAGACGAATGCTGGAGCTTAGTCTGATTTTCCAGACTATTAAATTTGCATAGTCTGATTCAGCTAACACCCTTGTCTAGCATAATCACACTTGTTCTTGTTAATGAACGCGCCCCTGGCGCGGCGCTGACAGCTCGCTAGCTGACAGGCGTGTGGCTGTTGAGGGGCATGCACGTGGCATTGAGGTGCTGCGAGGGATCAGGTTGGGTGGAGGGACGCGAGAAGGAAGGGGGGGGCTGGGCTGTTGCGAGACTTCACGAGGGGCATGGGGAGTGGACCAGGGGGGGAGGGGGAGAAGGTCTGGACTAGGCCTGGAAGAGGAGCGAGGGCATCTAAAGGGGGGCTGAGCTTTAGAGAAGCGAGGGATCGGGGGGGGAGAGGGGGTTCGGTATCAGACGAATTGCAACCCGCTATCTGAAATTTCAGACTAAGTATAAGGCTTTCTCTGAAAAATCGGATGAACTAAAATTCGTAATCTTACAGATCAGACGAAGTAAAAATCAGACGAACTAAAATCAGATGAAACCCAAAATCAAGGTCAGAAAATCAGAAAATCAGACCAATTTGGTCTGATAACGAGAGCCCTGCACACAACTGACTCGACATTGAGCAGTTGCCCGAGTCGCACTGTATCGATGAGCAACAGCAAAAACAGTTTAATTATATCTATTCGTATTCCTTGTACTCTTATATAAACCTTTGTATCTGCTTGCTTTAATCAACTTACTTTGCCCTCACATACCAGCGCAAGGTGGTTCAAGGACTTTTCATTCAACGCTTCCGCTATTACAATCCTACTCAGACTCTAACTCTATAAAGATCCTAAGGGCACCTCAGCCCAACAATAAATACCGTATCAAATGCACACCAAACTTAGGCATCATAAACATCAAATGCACACCAAACTCAGAAACAGCATGCGCCGCTAACTTCTCCCTTGATACTTCAGGATATGCCGTTCGTCCTCCTCCCCATTGTATCCCTCCACCAGCCCCCCATTCACACTGTGCATCTTCTCCCTCACATTCTTCGCCCGTTTCTTCGCATCAAAGCGACACCTTAGCACGCCACTCTTCTCCTGCCTCACGTGCACCACAGGCCCGCCCATCACCCTCATCCCCTTCCTCTCCCAATAATATGAGCGATCGATAACACAGAAAAGCGCCAGGGAGGGGAAGCTCACGCACGGGCGAGCAAGGGCGCGCGGGTCCTAGGGCCTGCGAGTGGGGAAGAAAATGGATTTGAGATTTGGAGCGTTGATAACCGGAGGCAGGAGTGCTTGTTGCTGCTGCTGCAAGCACTCCTGCTCACCGCCTCCGTACTCATCGCACCTATCCACCGCAGCCTCCCAGTCCGGGTCGTGACAAACCTTGCCGCCCACGACAATCCCGAGGCTGCACGACGAGCAATTCTGTGATCTCAGATTGCACATCAGGTAGCTGTCGTGGCTGGAAATTGGAATCGTGTCCTGGAGTCGCGATTACGACCTTCACAATTTGCACGTTCAGAATTGCATGGTCAAGTATGTCGAGTCGCGCAAGCACGTCTCCACAATTCAATCACTCCGCTTCACCCCATTCAAACACGCTTCATCTATCTAGTCCAACCACTCGTGTCCTCATCCCCGTCACCCAGCATGCTATTTAGCCACTCGTCAAAATGTCCATCTCATTCGGTTTTCAACTCCCGCTAGCTAGTTAGCGCGCTATGTCTTGTTCTCCACCACCCACATCGCCGTCCGTACAGACAGAGGAGAGTGCGAGGGTTCCTCCAACTGCGTCACGGGAATACCTTCCCGATGTTAAACACCCTGTGTTTAAAAACTTCAGGCTCATTAAGCGGGAAGAGGGCAAGGCACAGCAGTACGAGTGCAATTTTTATGGGTAGGTTTTTTTTATGGAGAAACACAACCCACCAGAAACCCCCCTTGCTGCACTCCCAGAAGTGTTTTCTTCCCTGCCCGAGAAACTTTTTAGCTGCCCGGAAATGCGTATCCTGGATCAGACCCCTCCCGCGTTTAGCGTATATACGGTGGCGTATATACGACACGCGTATGTACGCCAAACGCGTATAATCCAACATAGGGTGGGGGAGACGGTGAGGGTGGGGGAGACGGTGAGGGTGGGGGAGACGGTGAGCGTGGGGGAGACGGTGAGTGTGGGGGAGACGGTGAGCGTGGGGGAGACGGTGAGCGTGGGGGAGACGGTGAGCGTGGGGGAGACGGTGAGCGTGGGGAGACGGTGAGCGTGGGGAGACGGTGAGCGTGGGCTTGAGGTCGCAGTGGGGGAAGCGGAAGCGGAGGAGGCGAGCAACGTAGAAAGAGAAGGAGAGGCAGTGGTAGCCGCCATAATGGGCCCCGTGGGGGCCGTGTGCGAGGCGGCTGCAGGGCTCAGGCTCGTAGAGCGTGAATTCTAGCAGCTGCGGGGTGATTTGCTTGAGGAATTCGAGGTCCAGGCTGGTCCAATCCACGTGCTTGATGGTGAGGCAGCGGAGGGATTTCGTCCACGTGGCGTCGGCGCATTGGCTGGTGAAATCCCACCTGCCGCGGCCCAGCTTCAGCCGCTGCAGCTGCGAGCAGTCTTTGAGGAAAGCAAGGGACCAGTGCTGCTGTGCGTGCTCCTGCTCCTGCTCCTCGTCTCCGTCTACCATGCGTCGAAGTTTGAGGGAGAGGGAGGAGAGGATGTGGTGGGAGCATGCGATGTGGGGCCCGAGGGAGAGCAGGTGGGGAGGGGCGGTGAAGGAGAGGGATAGCTGGTGGTGTGGCCACCGGAGGAGGTAGAGCACGCTCCTGCTCCACTCGGGGTGCTGCTGGCTGAATGCCAGGGCGGTAGGCTGGCTTGCCTGCGAGGAGGGGGCGGGTGAGGTTGGGGAAAGGGGAAGGGTCGAGCAGGTGGGGGAAGGGGGAGGAGGGAGGATGAGGGGATGGGGAGGGGCTCGGAAAGGGAGATACGGCCTCCGAGGTGAGAGAGCAAAGAGAGACATAAAAGACATAACGTTTGGGCAGAAGATCAATGCACAACGGCTTCAAAACTCAGTTCAGTCAAGAATTGGGGGCGTCTCAGTATTAGAGAGGAATCTAAAGCGAGGGAGACAAGAAAGACGTGTCGTGTCACTCCAGCAACGCAACGCAGCGCGTGAGCAACAATTCAACGCACAGCCGGTTCAGCAATCGAGGGAATCAAGGAGCTACGGCGGCGAACTTCGGAACAGTGGAGGAAAACGCTGGTAAGGCAACAGGAGAGCAGCAGATAGCAGCAGATAGCAGCAGATAGCAGCAGATAGCAGCAGAAGAAAAGCCGACAGAGCATCGGTCGAGCAGGAGAGGACGTGGAGCAGCCGCCTGCTGGCGAGCGGCGGGAAGGAGGGAGGAAGGGAGGGAGGAAGGGAGGAAGGGAGGGAGGGAGGGAGGGAGGGAGGGAGGGAGGGAGGGAGGGAGGGAGGGAGGGAGGGAGGGAGGGAGGGAGGGAGGGAGGGAGGGAGGGAGGGAGGGAGGGAGGGAGGGAGGGAGGGTGTGGAGAGCGAGAGGATGGTACTCACGGAGAAGGAGAGGACGTGGAGCAGCAGCCTCCTGCTGGCGAGCGCGCAGCACAGCAGCGCCCACGAGGGGTCGTAGCTCCCCGCGTTGCTGCGCTGCTGCTCGCCCCACGTGCTCCGCGCGTCCCTCAGTACCACCACTGCCGCGCCCCGCCTCTCCGCCTGCTGCTGCTGCCGCGCCTGCTGCTGCTGTCGCGCCTGCTGCTGCGCCAACTGCTGCTGCAGCTGCAGCTGCTGCTGTAGCCTCGCCTGCTGCTGCTGCTGCCGTTGCTGCCGACGCTGCTGCTTCGACGTGGCGCGGCGGTGGTTGGCGTGGCTCCTCCTCGCGGCGCCGGTGCCTGCTGCAGCCGCTGCTGTTGCTGCTGCTGTTGCTGCTGCTGTTGCTGCTGCTGTTGCTGCTGCTGTTGCTGCTGCTGTTGCTGCTGCTGTTGCTGCTGCTGTTGCTGCTGTTGCTGCTGCTGTTGCTGCTGCTGTTGCTGCTGCTGTTGCTGCTGCTGTTGCTGCTGCTGTCGCTGCTGCTGTTGCTGCTGCTGTTGCTGCTGCTGTTGCTGCATCCCAAATTTTGGAGGGGCTCGTAGTATGTACGTACATGTGCTGCTACAGTGTACCTACTCCTCCGAGCTCGTTTCTACTATGTAGCAGCATATGTACATACATAGTACGAATGCCAAACATTTTTGGGATGTGCTGCTGCGGCGGCGGCGGCGGCGGCGGCGGCGTCGGCGGGTTCGTCGGGGCGGGCGGGCGGCAGCAGCAGGAGGCGGAAGATGATGTGCCAGATGGGCGCGGGGAGGATGTCCGCGATGTCAGCTGCGGGGATGGGGCCGAAACGAACGTGGGGTCAAGATGGTATGGGGTTATCCCAAACAAACAATCTCTGGCACTTTTGGTATGGACTTTTGGTCTAGCATGGTAGCGGAAAAAGGAGCCCTTCGACACTGAATGCGCGCATCGGTATCGCGTGAAATAGAGGAGAGCGGCCCCTGCGGCAACGAGTGCCTCTCATTCCTTCCACAGTACAAGGAGATTCGCGACGAGGGCGAAGTTTTCGAGACGGGTTACCCACCAACGGTGGGAAACGAAGTCTCAAAACTGTGCGATATAAACAGAACGGTGAATGGCAGAGCGCGACGAGATTGGCAGTTTCACGAGAGCGCCGTGGCTATTACGCGACGGTAAATAGTACATTCATACACGCGCCGTATTCTTTAAGCGCCCTGTTAAGACGCCCTTTGAGGTCTCACAAGAATATGCACAACTGCTGAATCGACTCAAAAGTCACCTCGGTAGAACGCGCTTACGAATATCCGTCGTCATTCGTTAAGACGCCCTTTGAGGTCTCATTCGTGCCGTCCCGCCACGCCAGCTCGTCGATTCGCGCCTTGGCGGCGTCGAACAGCCACGACAGCGTGTCGGCGTTCGTGGCGCGGCTCGCGTCCTGCCGCATCAGCACGCGCTGCAGCCGCAGGAACTCCGTCACCGTCGCCGCGTCGAACTGCAGCACGCATGACCCATCCGCGGCGCCGTTCATTCCCGAAAATGGAGTCGTTCCTTTCGTTAGGGGGGCGAATAAAATCTTTGTGCTGAACGCGCCTAACAAAAGATGACGATGCAACTTTTCGTCTCTGAAACAAGCAGACTAGAAATGCCAGAAAACCATCGTCCTGTGCATCTGATGGCTCAACTTCTAGTATCACCACCTCGAATACTAGTATCTATATTCGAGCTCAACGGGATGAGTGAAGTGAAGCCGATGAATGCAAGCAAACCCCACCAGGCTTGGAAATTTGAGAGGCAGGGGCTGGATTTGCATTGCTGGCTGGCAAATACTCGTGCAGGTGACGATTGCGCTCGGAGGGGGAAGAGTGTTGGCGAATGGCGCGAAATTGATGCAAATGACGCCGAGGACATGCTGATAATTTGTTATTTGCAAATTCGAAATTTTGAATCTTGAAAGGCTTGGAGAATGTGCGAGGTTCTGTTTCAATTGATTCTCGGTGTGCATCGCTGCTTCCGTCACTCGCTCTCACCCGCTGCTTTGTTAAGTGTCAGTCTCGTGGTACAGAAGCAGCAACCAAACTGTACACTTGGGTTTGAGAAAACTTGGGGACACAACACTGGATGGGGTTGTGCAACGAGCTCCGACACGTCAGCCAAATGCTGGCATACGATCAAGAAGCTTGAAGTTCACTCCGTCCAGGGATCTTCAAGCGCTTATGTGTGAAACCAAAATCGCACCCTAATGCAGAAATTTTTTAAACCTGTTATGCATAAATTTACGAAATCCCACTGAGATTCCTGCGGTTTCTATATCCAACAAAGAGTCGCTCTATGGGGGCATCCGAGTGCAGCTGGCCGCCATGCCTGTCCTGCTGACGCCAGAATCTTGGGAACTCAAAAACAGCGAGCCATAAGATGAGGCGGAGTGGAAGAGGCGAGTCAGGAGGCCATTTGCTACTAGCCGCGATTTCGGTCTTTAAGTCGAGTCTTTAGATTCCTAGTGTGCTGACCTCAGTCGTCCTGTGCGTTCTCCGACACTTTTTCACCACTACCTGACGACGAATAAACTCATCGCTCTGTCGCCATGCAGTCGCACGGGCCGTCGTCGCCGTCGCAGTCGCATCTCCACGGTCATGCGAATCGGCGCGATCTTTTCAAGCAGTCTGGTACGACGCGCAACGACGCTTCGCTCCCACCAGCCACAGCAGATGTAGCATGATATGGCACTTCACCTCCTTTTTCCCTCTCTCCTCCCACTCTCCCCCCCGTTTCCCCCCTTTCCCCTGCCCCGGGTTCTTCTCGAAAGTCCTTCTGTTTGACGTAAACCAAAGCACTTCTACTTTCCTTAGCAACTCCTCATCACGCGTACTTATATTCCCCTAATTCTCAACCCTTTTCAAACAGGGTCCACTCTTTCCAAAGCCTCTCCAGTACCTTCCTCTCCCTCCTTCACCCAGCCACCTAGCCCCGATCCATCCCTTCCCTTATTCACCCATACAGTGCAAAAGAGAGGCTTGCGGATTGTTGTAGGCCTACAGCCCCATGCCCCTTCCCGTGCTGACTTTTGAATCGACTCAAAAGTCGGGATGTAGGCTACAGCCCCATGCCCCTTCCCGTGCCAGCCTCCGCGGCAGCAGCAGCAGCAGCAAGAAGGCGGGGAGTGTTAGCAGCTATATCCAAGGACAGGCGGGAGGCGCTCGTGCGCGCCAAGCGGATGCGCCTCATTCGCCCCCGCCCAACCTCATGTGTGTCCACACCCTACACCCCTCCCCCTTCCCCGTGTCAGCCACGGCGGCAGCAGCAGCAAGAAGGCGGGGAGTGGTAGCAGCTATATCCAAGGACACGCGGGGGGCGCTGGTGTGCGTCTCATGGATGCTCCTGGTTTGCCCCTTTTCCAACCGCACTTCTTCCTTATCATCCCCCCCCCCATTCCCCCCCTTCCCCCCCTTCCCCCCCTTCCCACCCTTCCCCCCTCTCACCTCAGCCACGGCAGCAGCAGCAGCAAAAAGGCGGGGAGTCGTAGCAGCTATATCCAAGGACAGGCGGGGGGCGCTGGTGCGCGCTAAGCGGATGAGGCGGGGGGAGGGGATCGCCGTGGGGCAAGGGTTGGGGGGGTTGGAGGGGGGGATGGAGGTGGAGGGGAGGGAGGGGGAGGGCGAGGAGGAGGAGGAGAGGAGGCGGGTGGAGGAGGAGGGACGCGTGGAGGAGGCGGTAAAAAGGCTTAAGGGCACGTTTGAAGGGTGAGTGATGGTTGAAGATTGAGTGATGGTTTGGGGCACCTCATAAGGAGGAGGGGCGAGTGGAGGAGGTGGTTAGGCGACTCAAGGGTGAGTGACGTTTGAAGGGTGAATGCCGAGTCACCTCAACAAGAGGAGGGGCGGGTGGACGAGTGGAAGGTCGAGTGGACGTGGAGGAGGCGGTTAAGACGCTAATGTTTGAAGGGTGAGCGATGGTTGAAGATTGAGTGGCGGTTTGGGGCACCTTATACGGAGGAGGGGCGGGTGGACGTGGAGGAGGCGGTTAACACGCTCAAGGGCACTTTTGAAGAGTGAGTGAGTGCATTGCTTATGTGCTTCATAAAGAGGAGGGGCAGGTGGAGGAGGAGGGGCGAGTGGAGTGGAGGAGGCGGTTAAAACGCTCAAGGGCATTCGAGTTCGAGTCACCTCTGAAAGAGGCGGGGCAGGTGGACGAGGCGGGGCAGGTGGGCGAGGCGGGGCAGGTGGGCGAGGCGGGGCAGGTGGGCGAGGCGGGGCAGGTGGGCGAGGCGGGGCAGGTGGGCGAGGCGGGGCAGGTGGACGAGGCGGGGCAGGTGGGCGAGGCGGGGCAGGTGGGCGAGGCGGGGCAGGTGGGCGAGGCGGGGCAGGTGGGCGAGGCGGGGCAGGTGGGCGAGGCGGGGCAGGTGGGCGAGGCGGGGCAGGTGGGCGAGGCGGGGCAGGTGGGCGAGGCGGGGCAGGTGGGCGAGGCGGGGCAGGTGGGCGAGGCGGGGCAGGTGGGCGAGGCGGGGCAGGTGGGCGAGGCGGGGCAGGTGGGCGAGGCGGGGCAGGTGGGCGAGGCGGGGCAGGTGGGCGAGGCGGGGCAGGTGGGCGAGGCGGGGCAGGTGGGCGAGGCGGGGCAGGTGGGCGAGGCGGGGCAGGTGGGCGAGGCGGGGCAGGTGGGCGAGGCGGGGCAGGTGGGCGAGGCGGGGCAGGTGGGCGAGGCGGGGCAGGTGGGCGAGGCGGGGCAGGTGGGCGAGGCGGGGCAGGTGGGCGAGGCGGGGCAGGTGGGCGAGGCGGGGCAGGTGGGCGAGGCGGGGCAGGTGGGCGAGGCGGGGCAGGTGGGCGAGGCGGGGCAGGTGGGCGAGGCGGGGCAGGTGGGCGAGGCGGGCAGGTGGGCGAGGCGGGGCTTGCACCCACCCACTCCCAGCTGAGCAAGGGTGGAAATGAGAAAGAGGGCCGGCCGTACAGCACGAGAGTGGCTCTATTGCAATCACTTTTGAGAACTTTTGAGAATTCTCAAAAGTGATTTCAACTGAGCAGGGGGTGGAAATGAGAAAGAGGGCCGGCCGTACAGCACGCGAGTGGCTCTATTGCAATCACTTTTGAGAACTTTTGAGAATTCTCAAAAGTGATTTCAACTGAGCAGGGGGTGGAAATGAGAAAGAGGGCCGGCCATACAGCACGAGAGGGGCTCTTGATTTGACTCAAAAGTAAACCGTGCTCTCCCTCTCCACTCTTTCTCATTTCCACCCCCGCCCCGCCCTCACCCCCGCCCTCACCCCCGCCCTCCCCATCCCCATGCTACCCCCATCCCCATCCCCATGCTACCCCCATCCCCATCCCCATCCTCCCACCCCCAGCACTGCCAGAGCGGGCGGGGCAGCAGTGCAGCAGGAGAGGGTGGAGGCGCTCAAGTGATTCTGCCAGCCCCCTCCATCGTCTGAGCCCCATCTCCATCCCTCTCCATCCCTCTCCTTTCCTCCCATACCCATCCCCACCATACCACTCGCAGCACCGCCAGAGCGGGGGGAGCAGCCGTGCAGCAGGAGCGGGTGGCAGCGCTCAAGGCGCTGCGCCAGCTGCTCTCGGCCAATCACAGCCCGCCACTTGGCGCTGCCGTGCGCTGTGGGGCTGTGCCTCTGCTGGCGGAGTGCCTGGCGTTTGGAGCCCCGGAGGCGCAGGTGAGGGGGTGGAACGGGGGGAGGGAAGCAGGTGTGGGGGTGGAACGGGGGGAGGGAAGCAGGTGTGGGGGAAAGCACAGGGGGGGGAAAGCACAGGGGGGGGAAATGGGTTGGGGTGGGGAATGGACTTTTGAGACGTCTCAAAAGAAGGGACAGGTGTGGTAGAATGCCATGCGCTGCTGGTGGGGCCGTCCCGCTGCTGGCGGGGCCGTCCATATGGTGGCGGGGTGCCTTGAGTTTTGAGTCTACTCAAAGCTCGACTTATCATGCGCAGGTGTGGAAGAATGCCATGCGCTGCGGGGCCGTCCCTCTGCTGGCGGGGTGCCTTGGTATTGCTGGCGGGGTGCCTTGGTATTGCTGGCGGGGTGCCTTGGTATTTGGCGCCACGGGGGAGCAGGTGAGGGGATGGAGGGCGGTGTGTGGGGGTGAAGGGTGGGGGTAAATGGGAGTGAGGGAAACTTAGGAAGGGGAGCTGTTTGGGGATGGGATGGGTTAGAGTGCCGTGCTCTGCAGGGCAGTGCCTCTGCTGGCGCAGAGCTCGGCGCTTGGAGCTTCGGAGGGGCAGGTGTGGAAGAAGGGGGGAAGGAGGGGTGGTGTGGGGTGGGGGGCAAGAGGGGGGAATGAACGGGAGGGAGGGTGATCGTCTGGCGAACTGATGAGATGAACGGGAGGGAGGGTGATCGTCTGGCGAACGGATGGGGTCGAATGTGTGTGAGATGAGTTGACTCCACTAGAGTGATGTGCATGCGCTGACTTGAGTTGATGCATGCGCTGACTTGAGTTGATGCATGCGCTGACTTGAGTTGATGCATGCGCTGACTTGAGTTGATGCATGCGCTGGCTTGAGGTGATGCATGTGCTTTCCGCCTTTCCTTCCTCTCTCTTTCACACCAGCTAAAGGAAGCAGCGTGGTGTGCGACCAACATAGCATTGGGGGAGGTGACTTGAGTGGACTTTTGATTCTCCCCATCCATCTCCCCCCACCTCCTCTCTCTCCCCTTCCCTTCCCCCGCTTCCCACCAGCTCCTGGAGGCGGTGTGGTGTGTGACCAGCATTGACTTGAGTTGACCCGCATTCGTATACTCTCCACTCTCCTCTCTGTCCTCTCTCTTTCCTCTCTTTCCCACCAGCTCCTGGAGGCAGCGTGGTGTGCGACCAACATAGCATCGGGCAAGGCGGAGGAGACTCTTGACTTTCCCCTCCCCCCCACCACCTCTCTTCCCGCCCCGCCGCACCACCTTCCCCCCTGTCCCACCAGCTCCTGGAAGCAGCGTGGTGTGTAACCAACATAGCATCGGGCGAGGCAGAGGAGACTCGTGCTGTGCTGCCCTGTGCTGCTCTGCTCGTCGCCCACTGCACTGGTATGGTACCATACCATTCACTCACTCACTCACTCACTCACTCCCTCAATCGCTCGCTCTCTCGCTCCCTCACTCACTCCCTCACTCGCTCCCTCACTCACTCACTGTCTCGTTCCCTCATTCACTCCCTCACTCACACCCCCACTCGCCCATTAGCTAACAGTGTTTTTCAACCTGCCCCCTGTTTCTTACAAAGTATATCCTGCCTCCCCATCGCCAGCCATAGCGGAGCAGTGTGCGTGGGCGGTGGGCAACATAGCAACAGAGACGACCTTTGTCTCGAATGGGCCTTTTGCATTCTCTCTATGCGTGCTCCTCTTCCTCAACTCTCTCTTCCTTTTGCATTCTCTCTATGCGTGCTCCTCCTCCTCCTCAACTCTCTCTTCCTTTTGCATTCTCTCTATGCGTGCTCCTCCTCCTCCTCAACTCTCTCTTCCTTTTGCATTCTCTCTATGCGTGCTCCTCCTCCTCCTCAACTCTCTCTTCCTTTTGCATTCTCTCCGTTCGTGCTCCTCCTCCTCCTCAACTCTCTCTTCCTTTTGCATTCTCTCCGTTCGTGCTCCTCCCTCCTCCTCAACTATCTCTTCCTTTTGCATTCTCTCCGTTCGTGCTCCTCCTCCTCCTCCTCAACTCTCTCTTCCTTTTGCATTCTCTCCGTTCCTGCTCCTCCTCCTCCTCAACTCTCTCTTCCTTTTGCATTCTCTCCGTTCGTGCTCCTCCTCCTCCTCAACTCTCTCTTCCTTTTGCATTCTCTCCGTTCGTGCTCCTCCCTCCTCCTCCTCAACTCTCTCTTCCTTTTGCATTCTCTCCATTCGTGCTCCTCCTCCTCAACTCTCTCTTCCTTTTGCATTCTCTCCGTTCGTGCTCCTCCCTCCTCCTCCTCAACTCTCTCTTCCTTTTGCATTCTCTCCGTTCGTGCTCCTCCCTCCTCCTCCTCAACTCTCTCTTCCTTTTGCATTCTCTCCGTTCGTGCTCCTCCTCCTCCTCAACTCTCTCTTCCTTTTGCATTCTCTCCGTTCGTGCTCCTCCCTCCTCCTCCTCAACTCTCTCTTCCTTTTGCATTCTCTCCATTCGTGCTCCTCCTCCTCAACTCTCTCTTCCTTTTGCATTCTCTCCGTTCGTGCTCCTCCCTCCTCCTCCTCAACTCTCTCTTCCTTTTGCATTCTCTCCGTTCGTGCTCCTCCCTCCTCCTCCTCAACTCTCTCTTCCTTTTGCATTCTCTCCGTTCGTGCTCCTCCTCCTCCTCAACTCTCTCTTCCTTTTGCATTCTCTCCGTTCGTGCTCCTCCCTCCTCCTCCTCAACTCTCTCTTCCTTTTGCATTCTCTCCATTCGTGCTCCTCCTCCTCAACTCTCTCTTCCTTTTGCATTCTCTCCGTTCGTGCTCCTCCCTCCTCCTCCTCAACTCTCTCTTCCTTTTGCATTCTCTCTGTTCGTGCTCCTCCCTCCTCCTCCTCAACTCTCTCTTCCTTTTGCATTCTCTCCGTTCGTGCTCCTCCTCCTCCTCAACTCTCTCTTCCTTTTGCATTCTCTCCGTTCGTGCTCCTCCTCCTCAACTCTCTCTTCCTTTTGCATTCTCTCCATTTGTGCTCCTCCTCCTCCTCAACTCTCTCTCTCTCCCTCACCCCCTTCATCAAATTCGCTCCCCACACCAACAGACTCCCCGTCACCCGCAATAGCGGAGCAGTGTGTGTGGGCGGTGGGCAACATAGCAGCGGAGGCAGACGACCTGCGAGCACAGCTGCTGGATCAGGGCGCCCTGCCCGCCCTCACTCGCCTCCTGCTCGCTGCTGCCTCTGGGGGCAACACGGGGGCCCGCTGGTTAACGGCACAGGCACCCTCTGCCATGGCATCACTGGCCAAGACAGTGGCATGGGCGCTTTCCTCTCTTATTAAGGTGAGTACTGAGAACTCTACGGAATGGCCTTGTTATTACCTCTCTCTCTCTCTCTCTCTCTCACAGCTGCTGGATCAGGGCGCCCTGCCCGCCCTCACCTGCCTCCTGCCCGCCCTCACCTGCCTCCTGCCCGCCCTCACCTGCCTCCTGCCCGCCCTCACCTGCCTCCTGCTCGCTGCTGCCTCTGGGAGCAACACAGAGGCCCGCTCGTTGACAGCACAGGCGCCCTCTGCCATGGCATCGCTGAGCAAGACAGTGGCATGGGCGCTCTCCTCCCTCATCAAGGTGGGCGGGCGTATCTGTACCTCTCTCACAGCTGGGGGCAGCAGTGGGGGGCGATGGTTGACAGCACAGGCGCCCTCTACTATGGCATCACTGGCCAAGACGGTGGCATGGGATGGGCTCTCTCTTTGCTTATTAAGGTGAGCGAGGCGGTGGGATGGGCTGTCTCTGACCACGCACGCTGTCGTGAATCCTCCTCTGCAGACTCTCATTCTCACTCTCCCATGCGTATCCCGCTGATTCTCCCTTATCTCCTTCCTTCCCTGCCACCGCTCTGCTGACCACAGGTTCAGCCCTTCTTCCTCCTGGTGTAGGTAATCACCCCGTCCTGTAATCCTCCTGATATCTCAGGCTTCCCTCGCAACAAGTCTAAACTCCCTCGCAAGGGCTCAGTCAGATTGCTGTTAGCTTCTCCTACTGCTAGTTCCCTTCGGATTAGGAAAGCAAATTGCAGTAAACGAGAAACATACAAGCAAAAAGCAACGAGTCTGAGCGCTACCCCAGTCTACATCCCCTCCTGCCTAGTTGCCTTGTCCCGCAAGCTACCTCTACCCCTAAGCGCGAGTCAGCTGAGCTGATCGCGTAGGCTTCAAGGTGCTAGCTGGGTCCCACTGGGCCCACTAGGCATGCACCGCCTTCCAGCCTGGTGAATGGCGAATTGAATTCCCAGGCTGGCTGGAATCGAATTCGCCACCAACCTCCTCATCAACCTCCTCGAAATCCTCAGCAGCTCGACTCTGTATAGTACAGTAACCTTCCAAAGCAAGCACACAAAGTAAAAATGCGAAAAGCAGTAAACTATAGTACACCCTCACCTTGGCTGCTGCGAAATTCACACTTAGTTGCCGGCTAAGTGTTAATAACGCGACAGCTGTCGTGAATCCTCCTCTGCAGACTCTCATTCTCACTCTCCCATGCGTATCCCGCTGATTCTCCCTTATCTCCTTCCTTCCCTGCCACCGCTCTGCTGACCACAGGTTCAGCCCTTCTTCCTCCTGGTGTAGGTAATCACCCCGTCCTGTAATCCTCCTGATATCTCAGGCTTCCCTGCCCCCTCCCGTGTCTCAGCGCTCATCTTAGCCGCTCGAGCCACGGGACCCAATGCCTGAGGCTTCCCTTGTCCCGCCCTGGCCACGTTGGTGATGTGCTCCTTGATGGTTCCCCCTCGGATATCTTCCAGCACTAACACTCCCGAGCCTCGAATCTCTTTCACCTTCCACCGCTCTGAACCCACAGCCAAGTCCAGCGTGTCGCGCTTAGCTTTGCGGAGGTACACCTCCTGTCCTGCCTCCACCTTGTCTTCCCTTCCTCCCACCCCTGATGCTTTACGCTGCTGGTATCGTCTAGCGTCACGCAACTGCGCCACGTGGAGATTATCCAGGGCTGCCGGAGTCAGCTCCTTCAAATACTTCGCCCTCTTATATGCTAACTCCGCCCACAGGTTCGGCTCATCCGCCTCTATAACCGCAGAGAGCAGCTTCGGTGCGTCGACCGGCAGCACAGGGTCCCGTCCGAACAGCAGGTGGTATGGGGATAGGTTCTTCAGTGCCGCCTGCTTTGCGAACCTGTACCCAGCCAGTACCCACCATAGATCTCGGTCCCAGCTCCTTTTGTGGGTCTCACTGTAGGCCCGAAGTCCTTTCTTCAAGGTCTGTATGAGCCTCTCGGTCAGTCCGTCTGATTGCGGGTGGTACCTAGAGGTGACCCTGTGCGTGATACCCATCTCCTCTAACAGCCCATCAAAGCTCCCTTGGAACTCAGTCCCTTGATCAGTGAGTACCTCTCCGCATGCCCCATACCTGGTAAGCACCAGCTCCTCAAATGCGTCTGCTATCAGTGCGCTGTTCTTGCTTGGTAAAGCACGCACCTCCACCCATTTGCTCGTGTGCTCAACCATCACCAGAATGTACTGCTTCCCCCCTTTCGACAGCGGTAGCTCCCCCGCGAGGTCCAGCGACCACCTGTAGCCCAACCCGTGAATTGGTAACGAATGCAGCTCATCCCTCTCTTTCTCCAGCCTTGCTTTATTCCTCTGACAAGCCTCGCAGCTCGCCACTAATCCTGCTACATCCTTTCCCATGTTCGCCCACCAGTACATGGTGCTCAGCAGCTGCCGCGTCCTGGTTATGCCATAGTGCCCCAGCTTCGCGTGCACGTTCCCCATAATCCTGGCCCTCTCCTGTGGCTGCGGCACTACCTTCCACCCTTCGTTAGTTCTCAGCTGCAGCTGTTCCTGAAACCACCTGAAATGCTGTCCTCGGGCCCTGGCCCTCTCGCTTACTCCTCCCTCTTCGAGTGGCTCCCCTTTGATCCAGCTCATGGTCTCCTCATCTTCCCATATATCCCCTAACCGCTTCTTTCCCTTCTCCTGCCCCCAGGTTACTGCCGCTACTTGAGCCATGGCTGCCAGTTGTGCTACCGGCTGCAAAGGTGGCGGGTTCCTTGATAACCCATCGGTGTGCTGCAGGGTTTTCCCAGGTCGGTGTCGGATCTCAAAATCGAATCCCAGCAGCTTAATGGCCCAGCGTGCGTTTCTCCCAGTCAGCTCCTGATGAGTCATCAACCATAGCAACGGCTGATGATCAGTCACAAGTGTGAAATGCCGACCCTGCAGGTACACCTTGAAGTGAGTGATCCCCCATACAGCTGTCAGGCCCTCCCCTTCGTAAGAGCAGTAGTTAGCCTCGGATGGGCTGCAGCTGCGGCTAGCGAAGGCTACCACTCTCTCCTCTCCCTCTATCTCTTGGCAGAGCACTGCCCCCATTCCTGTGCTGCTCCAGTCGGTGTATAAGATGAAAGGGGCATCTGCCCTCGGTATCTGCAGCAGTGTTCCAGTCCGTACTGCTTCCAGCAGGTCCTGCCTTGCCGTTTCCTCCAGCTCTCCCCACTGCCAGCTCCTCCCTTCCTTTAGCAGCTGATTCAGTACGTAGGCGCGGCGGCTGAAGTTCGGAACGAACTTCCTGTAATAATTCAGGAAGCCGAGTAGCGCCCGCAGCCCGGTCTTGTCCTTGGGTGCTGCTAAGTTCTCCAGCACCTTCACCTTTGCTTCCTGTATTGCTAGCCGGCCCCCCTTCACTTCGAAGCCCAGGTAAGCCACGGTCTGCCTTGCTACCTTGCACTTGTCTGGATGGCACGTTAGGCCTGCAGCTGCTATTGCCTCTAGCGTCCGCTTCAGATCTTGCACGTGCTGCTCTTCGCTGCTGCTGAATATCAGTATATCATCTATGTAGCATGCTGCTGCCGGAATCCCCTTCAGCACCTGATCCATGGCTCGCTGAAACACTGCAGGGGCGTTGCGAATCCCGAAAGGCATCACATTGTACTCATACAGCCCATCCACCCCGTGGAACGCCGTCTTCCGTTTGTCTTCCTCCCTAATGGCTATTTGGTTGAACCCTTGCCGCAGGTCCAAGGTGGTGAAGATGATGGCGCCCTCTAAACGGTCGAAGATGTCTTCAGCAGTTGGCATTGGATACCTATCTGGACTAGTGATCTTGTTCAGCTCTCTGAAGTCCCCGCACATCCTCTTCGCCAGTACCTTCCCCGTAATATCTTTCCTAGCGGCTACCACTGTGGCTGTGGCGTAGCTTGACTCTGACGGGCGGATAATCCCTGCAGCCAGCAGCTCTTCGCACTTCTCCTTACATATGGCTGCATCCTCTGCATTCATCCTCCTCCTGCGTTGATATGTGGGCAGCTCCGTGGTGAGGTTTAGCTCCAGCTCTCTCCCCTTATACCTCCCCAGCTCTGACAAGTTGTACGCGAAAGTGTTCCTATGTTGCCGTAGTACCTCCTGAATTGCAGCTGCGACTTGCTCCCCTATGCCAGCTCCTAATTCCCAGTCTTTGCTTGGCTCTGCTTCCTTGCCCCCTGTGGTCCTGGGGTCAGCCTTCATCCCTGCCGTGGTCTTACTGAGAGCTACGTATGATGCTTGCAGGATGCATTGTCCCTGTTCTGTCCCCGCCTTTCCTCTCCTACTGGTCGGACCCTTTCTCATCTCCCTGACTAACCACCTCAATGTGTGCTGGTCTATGGCTCTGCCTAGAGCCGCTCTGCGTACTGCTTCTCCCATTCCCTCCGCAGCTGTTGCCCCCGGCAGATAACCCATGGCTAATTCTCGTTCTAAGGCCGTCGGCTCTTCCCACTTCTTCTTTCGGTAGTCGTACACCATCCCTGGACCGGGTTGCCCATCCACCTCCACGAACCCCTGAGCCTGAGGGTAGGCTACCAACGTCGGCCAAGCTCTCCGTGCCTCTCCCACTCGGTTACACTGGTACTGCCGCGGATGATCTGGCTTCACCACTGGTGCGGCGACTCTGCCCGGTTCCAGAATGTCTTCCACTATCCGAGTCCCATCCCTCTCCACTCTTGCTAGTCTTGCCCTCAGTTCTCCCTCTGGCAGGACATTCTGCCAAAACTGTCGCACTCGGTGGCACCATGCCCCCAGCTGTGCGCCATCACAACTCACTCCCCTACCCAGTTCTGCCTCCACTAGCTCTCGTACTGCTCGGACTGGCTCCCGTGCATCTCCTCTCATATCCACATGCTCCAGTATGTAAGCATATTCTCCTCCCGCTTCTCTCGCCCACCTCATGATTGACAGAAGAGCGGATACCATGGCTGTACGTTCATCCTGCAAGCCCTTCCCTGTGAGAATCAATGAACAGGAATGAAATGACTAAGTCAGAGTTGGGTACAAATACAACCCTAGAAAGCTG